ATAGAGAGTGTGTGTGTGTGTGTGTGTGTGTGAGTGAGCGTGTGTGAGTGAGAGTGTGAGTGTGTGTGCATGCTTTATAATGCATCTTATACAGTCTCAAATGTTCAGCATCATCCGCCTGGTGTGTGCGTGTTTGCAAGGCGGTGGTGAAAATGGCTTTACTGTGTCTTTGGAGAAAGTGACACTTCTGGTGTGTGTGTGTGTGTGAGGTCTGCTAATATTGTCCCCTCTAACTGACTTTGTGAAGGAAAATCAATACAAAGCTACAGCTCTCAGAGAAAAGCCACAGCAGCCATAAACAGACACACACACACACACACACACACACACACACTCACACACACAATCCCGTGTTAAAATCCCTGTAATGTGTTCTGAATGTCTGGCCGCTGGTGAAGATGTAACCAGAGGCGTGTCTACGTGGTGGCCAGGTGTGGCATCGGCCCCCCCTGAAATTTGGCTGGCCACCCCAGGTGCCCCCCCTACCAGATGTCTTGCGCTAGGCTTGTTTTTAGTACCCGGCCACCCTCTTTTGAGCCAGTGCCCCCGACTGGCCCCCCCATTTAAAATGCTCTAGACACACCCCTGGATGTAACCCGTCTGGAATCACAGGGAAGCACCAGAGGAACGACTGTGACACTCACTGAGGGAATTCAGGATCGTAGAGAGTCGGCTGGAGAATTCCTGCAGGAAAAACTGAACAGAGACAAAGATGAGCTTAAAATGATGAAGCGATAGTTAGTTGACGGAGGAAATCTAAAAATAGGAGTTAATGAGGTTTCCTTCTCTGTTTCTGTCAAATTCAAATTCAAATAAGCTGCATTGGTCCATGTCAAGCTGTAGATTGTATTGCCAAAGCATTTATATGAGCAAGAAAAGAACAATAATAATGAACAAAAGATGAAAATGAACTCTCTCTCTCTCTGTTTCTGTCTGTCTGGATTGATGCTCTAACAGGTGGCTTTTATTTCCCAGATAATGATGAAAGCTTCATTGTGAAGTGCAGCTGGAAAACAAATGAATAAATATAATAAATAATGCCAACGTGAAGATGTACAAATACTGGAAGGTTTGTGTGAAGAAAATATCATGAAACACAACGGTGTTCTCAACATGACAGAAAAATGAATGTGTAGAATAATATCCACTAGCGTTTAAAAATGTGGTTGGTACGATTTTTTAAATGTTTTTAAGTCTCTTCTGCTCAGCAAGGCTGCTTTTATTTGATCAAAAATACAGTAAAAATTGTGAAAT